AGACATCTTTGCAGTGATTTTTGATTGCTCCTTGAAATGATTATAACTATTTCAGGGTTGTGAGCAAGATTAAGTGGAGCCTTTCCATCAGAACCACGGGAGGTACTTCAGATGCCAATTCCTTAGCTTTCACTGTATCTATAGATTCAGCTTTAGCTGGTAATACGTCCCATGGGTCATGGTTTAGCAGGAGTGGAGTTACTTCCCCAACACATAGGTCTAGGGCTCAGCGGTCTAAGACAGGTAAGCAGCACCATAAAGACTGCATGGGAGAAGCTGGGTTTTTCACCCCACCGCTATGCTAGTCCATGCTCCATCCAGTCAACTGTTTAAACCCATGGCAAAGAGCAACGAGAAATTCTAAGGCTTTTGTTATACATAGCCACATAGCTTGCCCATAAAGTTCGGAGACTGGAGTAGGTTATAGGCAACTAGCCATCCTTAATATTTGCAAAATCCATTCCTAGGGCTTGGAAGCTGTGCTCTATGGAGCACCAGGAGTGATTCTTATTTATATCAGCATTGAGAAGCGTTGTTCTGTCTGTGGCTTTGTTATACCCTGGTAGCACGTTTATCTTCTTAAGAGGACACTGGGCTGCTGCTCCTTCTCCTTCACCTTCCACAACCTCTCAGGTTCTGTCTCAGGCCCACAGTGCTTCCCAGAGGCACCCTGCCTCCTCAGTCTCTGGGCACAACCTCAGGAGCCTCTCTTGGAGGCCACTGTGTGGCTCCAGGGTAATCGGCAGGGCAGAGTCTAAGGATTCTCTTGTTCCTATTCAATGCTTTTATTTCCAAAGGAAAATACTCAGTATCACAAAACTTTAAAACCACTGAGTTTAGACACAAACCAGGAAGCTATTGGAGCTGGATAATTATCCTTGTACAACTTCTGAGTGGAGATAGCTTGTTGTATACACTTCCTCTCTGCAAGGAACAAAGAGATGTGAGGGCTTTTCTGTAAAGGACTTTCCACTGATTAAGTGGAAGCTGCATATTTTCACCAGTTCACCTTGACAACTACATAGAATGGTAATCCTCACTGGATAGAGAAAAGTAATGGAAACACTATACACTATTTCATCTTAGTGCCTTCAACCTGGTTAGAGTAAAATTTATTTATTTATTTTTATTTTGTGCATTTAGGACAGGGTGTACAGAGCTGTACTGCATAGATCAGACTTATGGTGATCCTCCTGTTTACAACCTCCCGAGTGCTGGGATTATAGGGATGTGCCACCACACCCAGTCTCAATGCCATCTCAGCACGCCCCAAGGTTGGGGCCGGCACAGCAGGCCAGGGGATTGAACTCCCAGCCCCTGTGTCTGCCTAAGCAGGCGCTTCAATCCGCTGAGCTATTTGGCCGGCCCTCATTGAATTTCTAACTAACATTTATCATATGGGTCTATGAATATGCAATGTAAATTGAAACACTAAAAAACTATATAAGAATGGTGACAAAAATTACAAGGGAAAGTATCTCTGACTGGTATTTTTGACACCTCAGAAGTTAGCACTTCTGTATCAAATCTGAAGGGAAATGCATACATGAGCTGCAAAGAAATAAATAAGTGTGTATATTTTAAGTGAGCATACTCGAGGAAACATACAAGACTTGTTGTTTCAAGAGGTTCTCAAGGTCATTCGTGTTGGATCCCTCCAAACAGTAAGATAAATACTTAAATCTTTACCAGCCTGTGTGCTTTCTGGTCCATTATTTGCATGTAGCAGAGATTTGGTGAAGCTTTAAATATCTTTTGTGCATCTAAGAGTGGCATCTGGTTCTCTTTTTCCTCTCTGATTGCCAAGGTACCAAGTTACCATCAAAATTCCCTCCCATAGTTACCTGCAGAAGTAAGTAGTGCATTGTTTTAAGGGACTTAACATTTTGAGTCACTGGGAATGTGCTGTCAGTGTGCCAGCGGTTGTGCTGGTGAAAGGCCTTCCCTGGTATGAGGGTGAGTCATGCCTCCGCCAGAGCAGGGCTTCCCTGAGCTCCTGTGCGGAGGAGAAGCTGCCCCAGGGAAGAGGAGGTGACTTCCATGTAAGAACTAAGCTGTCTTTAAGTCAGTGACTCTTGCGCTACCGCTGCAAATCATTTTGGATAGACAGAATGCAGGCGGAAATGTCTGTTCCAGCAAGTGTCTGGCTAACACAATAGTCACTGCAAAAAATAATCATTTCTGCAATTCTGAGTAATTTCATCTTCCTGAGATCTTATTCTTTCATCCATAAATCTCAAGAGGTTCGACTAGATGATTTGGGCTGTTTCCAGAAATCATTGGTAATGACTATGCAAGCATTAGTGGGAGAGGCTTGTGTTGGCTGCAGTTCTCTCTGAATTGATAGCAACTTGTTCAATAAACCTATTAGAATGATGCTCCTACAGGGAAGCAAAACTTAGGCAACCCATCCTTGTGTTTACTAAATGTGGTCTTCCTTCGCTGCTCAGCCCTGCTGGGCACCAGCCCCCATTGATGGATCCCCATCCCCCAGGACATTCCCATTCAGGAATGCATTTTGGTGAAGTGTTTGTTCCAATATTTTATTCACTTAATAGATCAGGTTTTCTTTTTTGTTTTACATCTTGCTTAGGAGTACTGAGAGTTCTTTATGTTTTCACTTTGCATACAAATTTTTTTTATCAGATTGATAATTGACGTTTTCTCTCCCAGTTGCTTTCATTTTTGTAATCACATAATTGACACGTATTTGATTTGACTTGTGATATGTTCTTTTTTGTAAAGCTTGGTTCCTAATATGAGGACTGTCAGGGAGTTTTGAATTTCCTTGGAATCAAAGAAAAATGACCTGGCATTCCTATGCCACAGTGTCATCCTCTTTTTAGCAGCAAATGTTAATATCACCTGAATTCCTTGGGATACCATCGACCATGCACTTAAGAAAGCAACGGATCCTTGCACTTAATAATTTTGTAATATCTGGATATTTATATTTTCAGTCAAGTGTCAGTCTATCAAATTGCAAGAATACTTTCAGATAAATTTATAATTACTTCAAAATCTTGATATTTTGACCACTCAATGGAAAGCCACCTTAGTGAGGCCAGTTACTCTTGGTACCAGAGTCCTTTCATGTTCTATCTGAAAATTTAGGGTAATGTTTGGTAATGACCCTGTTTAGAAGAGAAGAAGAGAATGAAGTCTGAACCATTGTAAGACGCCTGTGTAGTCTTTCTGAAGAATAGTACTCATGACTATGACTAGTTAGAGTTAGCCGTGGGAGCGTGCCCTGTCTGATTACTGATACATATTTATGAAAAATGGCCCTTGGGGCTGGGGAGATGGCTCAGTGGAATAAGCACTTCCCTGGCAAGCTCAAAGGCCTGAGTT